GGATCAAATGAATTTGCTAAGCACTTAGTGCCAACCCTGGGGCATACAGTAAGCTCCATGAAAGTGTCAGGCAAAATAAAGGTGGACGAAGCCTGGTAGCACGTAACATGGCCAGCCTCACTTTTGCCGTGCTGAGCGTGGCAGTGGTGGTGTTCTTGTGTCCCTGGTGTGGACCTAGTCTTAGAGTGTTTTAGGTGTTATCAGGCGCGTTGCAGTTGGATGTTAGGCACCTCCACCTGGCATTGGTGCTGGTGACTGCGGGCTGCATTTAGCATGTCGTTCGAAGGAAGGTGTTCTTGCACATCCCTGGGTGTAGAGTGGACTCTTCTCCTGTGTTATAACACATCCAAGAAGGGAGCAGGTTTTTGTCTGCTCCTGGCGTTTAGGCGGAGGCGTACAGAGCCCGAGGTGCAGCGGGACGCGGCCTCGGGCGCGTGGTAGGAGGCGTGCCGCAGCGCTCGGAATGCGGGCGTGGACCAAGGGCTCCACACCTGTCGGGCAGCAGGGGGCCGAGCTTGGGCACGCGGAGGGCGGGCTGCTCCAAAGCTCCCGGGCCAGCGCGCCGGCCGCGCGTGGCGCGCGTGTGTGTAGCGGGAGGGCCGGTCCACACCTCCTCCGGGCAGCGAGGCCGCGAGCTCGGTGCGTGGCCGTAGGAGGTGTCGTTACACACTTCCTGTGGGTCCCGGCCGACCCGGCGCGTTTCCGGCGCCGGCAGGAGCCCCGGGTCCGAGCCCCCGCCCCGCGCGTCGCCCGCCCCGCCCCGCCCGCGCCCCCGCCCCGCCCCCGCCGGCCGGCCCGCCGCGCTCCGAGCCGGGCGCGCGGAGCTCGGGCGACGGAGCGGCGCGCGCCGGTCGCCGAGCCAGGCTGGCGCCCGCCCCCCGGCCCGCGCCTCACTCCGCCGCCCGCGGGGCGCCTTCCCCGCTCCGCCTGCCTCCGGCGCCCGGCTCTCCGGCCGCTCTCCCCCCGCCCTCGCTCCCCTCCGTCCCGCCCCGTCCAGCCCCGGCCGCCCGGCGCCCGCAGGCCCCCCCGCCGCCCGCGTTCCTATGGACAGACGCACAGACACCTGCAGGTGGGTGAGAGCCCGCGCGCGGGGCGGGCGCGAGCGCGCCGACGCGGCGACCCGGGCGGGGAGTTCCTTTGTGTGGGGGGCGGCCGCGCCGGGGGCCGGTCCGCTTCCCCCTCAGCGGCCGCGCGGTGACCCGGCCGAACCCTTCTTTTGTCTCCTCTGGGGGGAGCGAGGCCGTAGTGAGGGCAGAGACCCGGCGGTCGGCCGTCGGCGGCGGCGGCGGGCTCGGGGCTGTGAGGGGCAGAGAGCCCCGGCGGCCGCTCGGGTCTGGCTGCCCGGGCCGGCCCCTCGCCCGGCAGCTCCGCTGGCCACGGCGGCCGCGGGCGCGCTGCGTGGGTCCGGCTCTCCTGCTCCCGGTCTGCTGGAGGTGGGAACGAGGGCGGGAAGGAGGAAGAAAAGATCTGTCCCCTTAGTTTCCAAGTCTTGAGGTGGTTGTGGAGAAAGAGAGGTGGTTCAGGGCTTCGCCCGACTTGTTTCCCTCCTCGGGAGGCACGCTGAGGTGCGTTTGGGGCGTGTGTGGAGGAACGTGCACCGCTTCGCTCCCTTATTTATTGTTTCTAACGGAGGAGGGCTTTCTCCAGAAGGGCTCTTCCGCCCCCCACCCTCATCTGAGGCTGCGCGCACTGTGATGTGTGTTTGTTATCAAATATATCAAGACATGATTCCCCTGGTTAGCAGGAGGTTGGACTGACCAGCATCAAGTCAAAATCAAACCCAAAGCAAAGGATATGATTTTTGGTTTTCTGATGGCTTTCTTTCTTTCTTTTTTTTAAGGTTAGGTAAACACTTGAAGGAAGAGAACATGGCTGTAATTTTTACAATTATATATATTTATTTGGGGTTTTGTTTTCTTTTTTTGAAGTTTTGGAGTAAAGTTTTGTTTTTTCCCAGACTTGTTAGGATTAGCGTGACAGAAGCCTCTGCCTATTAGATAAACAGTTAACAAGCGAGTCAGGTAGTGACTGCTTCCGTGGTGGGCGTTAAATGGGAATGCAATAAACAATGCTCCACCTTTCCGTTTTTTGCTGGTTTAAGGTAGGAGATCTTTCACAACGTAAGAGAAGAACATGGATGTTAGAACCGATTTTTCCACCTATGATTGTGCTTTCCCTATTTTACTCCACGTATTACATGTATGTAGCCCAACGATAGGATTGTCTGTGTTGGGTACAGTGTTTCGAAAAGCACTGTAGGGCGATATTTCTGATTTCTCATATTTAATTAGCTAGCTGGGTTTCTTTGTGAACAGTTGTATTTGTATATTCAAATAATAAATGAGGTTGTATAAGTACCCTCAAAATTAATTTTACAGATTCGGATTTCTTGGTGCATGTGTGGATTTATATCATTGTATTGATCTCAATCTGCAGCTCACTTCTGGAAACTTTTTTGGGTTTTTTTTTTTGTTTTTTTTTTTTTTGAGACAGAGTCTCACTTTGTTGCCTAGGCTAGAGTGAGTGCCGTGGCGTCAGCCTAGCTCACAGCAACCTCAGACTCCTGGGCTCGAGCATCCTTCTGCCTCAGCCTCCCGAGTAGCTGGGACTACAGGCATGCGCCACCATGCCCGGCTAATTTTTTCTATATATATATTTGGCCAATTAATTTCTTTCTATTTATAGTAGAGACGGGGTCTCGCTCTTGCTCAGGCTGGTTTCGAACTCCTGACCTTGAGCAATCCGCCTGCCTCGGCCTCCCAAGAGCTAGGATTACAGGCGTGAGCCACAGCGCCCGGCCTGAAGGTATTCTTATTCTACCTTCAGAGCAGCATTTTAAGGAATGTTATGCTTTTGAAAGCTAATGATAACATGCTAGTGTAGTCATATATTTTCCTTTTGAATATAGAAAATGAATATGAATATATTCAATGAAAAGTATATATTGTTATAAATAATATCCCATCTATGAATATATTTCACTTATGAAAATATTTGATATATGACTGTTTTCTTGAGATTATATATATCTGTAGTCTTAAATTGTTTTTTGGCTAGCTGGCTGCCTTTTTTCTGTTAGAAGTCTTACCACAAAGTAAATTTCCATTGTTCTTTTTCTAATGATGTGTTTATACATAGATAAGGTACAAAATCTATACTTTCTATTAACGAAGTTATTGTCTCAGTTTAGGGTTTTTCCTATTAAAAGTTATTTTTGATGTCAAAACTCATCCTATTGATTTGCCTTAATATCTTTCTTAGTTGATGCTTTCCTGTTAATCATCCAAATAAGTATTTTATTTAATTGTATAAGAGCATACTGTTGGCCTGAGAAATAAGCATATCCTTACACATTATATAATAAACAATATTTTTATTGAAAATAAGTGTAGTTCTATCTCTATGATTTTGAGAAAGAGATATACTGGTAAGAAGTTCAGTCATTTTGGCCATATGACAACTTAAACTTCATTTTAAAGAAACAATGAAATTAAAAAGGAGGGAGAAGTCTGGAGAAAATATTTGCAGCAGGCACTGGCCTGCCCTGGGTAAACTTGAGCCATAGGAGACATTGGTTCCAATGCATGGTAGAGTGGGAAGACATAGACCATAAAGTGTGAAACAAAGTGAATGTATAATACCAGCTAAAAAATCAAAGAGAATGCCTCGCAGCACTGGAAGACTACTTAAGCATTCCTTAAGGCCAGACCCCTCATGGCCATCTATGACTTCTAATAACTGTTCATTAATGGGTCCAATGTGGGGGCTCACATGCAGTAGGTCCTAATAAAAATCACTCTTTCATGAACAACAATGACAAAAAAGATATTTGCAGCAACATGACAAAGAGTTGATGTCTTTATGACATTGTATTGTTGTTTTATTTTCACAGGGTTTACCAAAAAATAATAAAACTCAGTGAATAATGGATAAAATGAAGAATAATTTAAAGACGAGAAATGTTCAGCCTTGCTAGGATTAAACACAAAATAGTATGGCAACCCAGAAACTTTTTTTTTTTTTTTTTTTTTTTGAGACAGAGTCTGGCTTTGTTGCCCAGGCTAGAGTGAGTGCCGTGGCGTCAGCCTAGCTCACAGCAACCTCAAACTCCTGGGCTCGAGCGATCCTTCTGTCTCAGCCTCCCGAGTAGCTGGGACTACAGGCATGCGCCACCATGCCCAGCTAATTTTTTATATATATATCAGTTGGCCAATTAGTTTCTTTCTATTTATAGTAGAGACGGGGTCTCGCTCTTGCTCAGGCTGGTTTTGAACTCCTGACGTTGAGCAATCCGCCCGCCTCGGCCTCCCAGAGAGCTAGGATTACAGGCGTGAGCCACCACGCCCTGCCTCAGAAACTTTTTTTAACCTATCAAATTTGCAAAAATATCAAATGAAACAATACTTATTTCTGGTGAGTGGAAGGATAGAGAGAGGAGGTTATTCTCATATGTTTTACTGATGGGAATATGGTATTCATCTTTTTTTCCTTTTAAAATGTTGAAGTTTAATGTACGTACAAAAATTGAACATATCAATGTATACAGTTGATTAATTTTTACAAATTGAATGCATGTGGCTAGTACTCAGATCAATAAACAGGACATTATTGGCACCCCTTGTGCTCCTTCCAGTATCTAACACAGCCTTTCTGAAAGAAAATAAATATCTTAACAGATTGCTGAGTCATAGGTTATACATACTCAGCTTTAGTAGCTACTGCCAGTTTTCTGAAGTAGCTTTATCAAAAAAAAAAAAAAGAAAAAGAAAAAAAATGAATAAAAACCAAAGTAGCTATATCAGTTTATACTCCTACCAGCACCACGTGGGTATTCCAGTTGCTCTGCTTCCTTATAATTTTCATTTTGAAAAGCAATTTGACAGAGCATATCAAGAACCATAAATATACTAATTGAAAAGATAGAAAAAGATACATGCACAAAAACATTCAACGAAGCAGTCTAAATCTGGCCTGCTGTGACCCGAAACCATTTGTTATCTGTGGCTGCTTTTGTGCTGCAGTGGCAGAGTTGAGTAGGTACGATAGAGACCTTGCAAAAGCAGAAAATATTTACTATCTGATCCTCTCCAGAAAAAGTTTGCCGACCCCTACATTAGAGCATTATTTAGACTAGTAAAAAATTGTCAGTAACCAGTATGTCCATCAGTAGGGGAATTATTAGAAAAGTCCTTGATGAAATTGGATATAACCATTTAATTGGATGATTGTAGAGATTATTTAACCAGCAAATATTTATTGGGCATTTGGCATGTGTTAGGTACTTTGCTAGATGCTAGGAAATCAATAAAGACAAAATACCTGCCCTCATAAAGCTTAAATTTTAGTAGTGAATATAGAAAATAAACATGTAAATAATAAGTAAAATAACATGTAAAGGATAAGTGTTAAGAAGAAAACAGTAGGGGGGGTAGATATGAAATATTTCAGGGTGAGGTCTTGATGTTTTAGGTAGGGTTGCCAAAGAAGATCTCACTTTAGAGAAAGTGACTTTGGAGTAAGGACTTAAAATAAGCAAGAACTTGATATGCAGGTATCTTGAGGGAGAGTATTTGAAGCAAAGGAAACATTAAGTACAAAGGGTCAGTTGGAAATGTGCCTTACATGTTCTAAGAACAAGAATATCAAGGGCTGCAGTGGAGTGAAGGAAGGGGAGAGTCACAGGGAAGAGAGTTAGTTGCAAGAGGTTGAACAGGTTGAAAATACCCTAATTGGTAGTAATGGTGGGGAGGGCAGATCACATAGAATCTGTGGCACAATGAAAAATCCCTATTATAAGTTGTTCAAGTAGGGAAAAAAAAGAACGATCTTTCTTCCTTCCATTTTTCCCTTCCTCCCTAATTATGACTATCATTTAAAGCTATGCATTTCTGATGCTGAATGAACTGTAAAAAAAAAAAAATAAAAAAAAAAATGAAGCTATGCATAATGAAAAGATTGGAAGAAAATACCCTAAAATGCTAATAGTGTTAACCCAGGTTATGAGCTATCTTTTTTTTGTTTTCTTTTTGCCACATTTTCCATAATTTGGCTATATTTGATAATAAAAAG